CCTAGCCCTCAGTAGGAACCAGCCATGCCAACACCTTGATTTCGGACTTCTAGCCTCCAGAATTGATAATAAATTTCTGTTTTTTTAAGCCACCCACTGTGTAGTACCTTGTTATAGCAGCCCTAACAAACTAATACCGTGGTTTTACAAGATAAAGTGTTAATTTACTTTGTATAGAGTATAACAGAAAAGATATAGGATCTGTTCAAACAAAAGATGAACATAGTTTATAATATTAATAGATATCAGAGTAAAGTGATGTGGTAGGTATCCCAGCATTAGCTCTCTAATACTGAGAAACATTTAATTTACTTAAATTTTCACTGTGCACAGGTTTAAGCTGAGCCACTTTTGATACTGAAGAACAAGAAACTAGGAAATCCTGCAAAATAGTCTATGGAGAATGTCCTGAAGATTGAAGGGTTAGAAAAACTACCCAAAGGCAAAGTTAGGGTATTCCTATTATAGAAAATCCTCATTAATTTAGATTCCATGCATTTAGAATGTTTACTAATTCATTGATTTTATTTTACACATGCTAGTAACATTATTAGAGGAGGAATATTTAAATTACTGAAGAGTAGGCTATTTTCAAGCACTTTCCAATATCTTTTTTTTAATTATGTTATATAAACATTTACCATGAGATCTGTCCTCTTAACAGATTTTTAAGTGTACAGTATAGTATCGTAATCCATAGGCACAATGTTGCATGTCAGGTCTCTAGAACTTACTTACCTTGCATAACTGAAATTTCATACATGTTGGTTAGCAACTGCCTGTTTTCCCCTCCACACTGGCTAGCAACTACCACTCTAGTCTTTGTTTCTATGAGTTCGATTCCATAAATAGGTGGAATTGAGTGGTATTTGAACTGTGACTAGCCTATTTCATTTAGCATAATGTCTTCAAGGTTCATCCATGTTTTGCATATTAAAGAGTTTCTTTTTTAAGGCTAAATAATATTCCATTGTGTGTATATATCCTATTTTCTTTATCCATTTCTCTGTCAGTGCATGTTGTTTCCACATGCTGGCTGTTGTGAGTAGCACTAACCTGAGCACGGGAGTATTAACATCTCTTCAAGCTCCTGATTTCAGTGCTTATGGGTAAATTCTCAGAAGTGGGACTGAGTCATATGGTACTTCCGTTTTTAATTTTTTGAGGAGTCTCTGTACTGTTTTCCTTCACAACTATAACATTTTGCATTCGTACCAACTGTGTAGAAGGGTTCCAGTTTTGCCACATCCTCACCAATATTTGTTGCCTTTTTTTTTTTTTAAGTTTATTTTGAGAGAGAGAATGAGCATGAGCAGGGACGGCGGAGGGGGAGAGAGAGAGAGAGAGAGAGAGAGAGAGAGAGAGAGAGAGAAAGAGAAAGAGAAAGAGAGAGGAAGAGAATCCCAATCAGGCTCCATGCTGTCAGCACAGAGCCCGATGTGGAGGTCAGTCCAATGAAACATGATATCATGACTTGAGCTAAAATCAAGAGTTGGACGCTTAACCTACTAAGCCATCCCGGTGCCCCACCTTTTTATTTGTTTTTATAATGACCACCCTAATAGGTGTAAAGTGACATTCATTGTGGTTTTAATTTTCATTTTTCTGATGATTAGTGACATTGAACATCTTTTCATGAATCCATTGGCCATTTGTGTATCATCTTTGTTCAGATCTTTAGCCAGTTTACTAATCTGATCACTAGGTTTTTTGCTCTTGAGTTGTAGGAGTTTCTTATATATTGTGGAAATTAGCCTTTATCAAATAATATAGTTTGCAAAGTTGGCAAATATTCTTTCCCATTCTGTAGGTTGGCTTTTCACTATGTTGATTGTTTCTTTCCTTGTATAGAATCTTTTTAGTTTGATGTAGGCCCTCTTGCCTATTTTTGCTTTTGTTGCCTGTGCTTCTGGTGTCATACCCATGAAATCATTGCCAAAACCAATGCCTGAGGCTTTTTCAAGTATTTAAGTCTTTAATATATTTTAAATTGATTTTTGTGTATGGATTGAGATAAAGATCCACTTTCCTTCTTGTGCATGTGGATAAAGATCCACTTTCCTTCTTGTGCATGTGGATATTCAGTTTTCCCACGGCTATTTGTTGAAGAGATTTTCCCCATTGTGTATTCCTGGCACCATTGCCAAAGATCAGTTGACCATATATACATAGATTTATTTCTGGGTTCTCCATTTAGTTTCAGTGGTCTATAAGCCTAGCTTTATGCCAATATCATACTATTTTCATTACAAAAAAATCCCCAATACCCAAAACTATCTTGAAAAAGAAGAACAAAGTGATCATACTTCCTGATTTCAAAATGTATTACAAAAATATATATTACAAAGCTAACGCACCTTCCAGTATCTTAAAGTATAACTTTACTCTTACGAAAAACTGTTGTAATGAGTTCCATTTGGTACTGGGATAATGAAGGCTGCCTAAATCCTAATCTCTCTACATGTCCTCCCTTAAAAACCTGTTAATTCAAAAAGGAGCACCCGTAAACCATTCATGAAGTTACTCTTTTAGCATTAGTAGGAGACCAAGATACCACAAACCTCAAATTTTCTATAAGCAGAAAAATAAACAGCAAAATTCAGAGTACCTGTTGCTGCTGCAAGCACTGAAAGTGGGGAGGGTTCTTTAGAATCTCTGGAAAAGAGGAGAGGGGATTAGGAGGTCTAGAAGTACAGTAACCTTGGCAAAACATTGCTTCTGGAGGAGAAGGAGATAAAAGGAGCAATCCAGATGTCCCTCTAATACCTGGAGGTGAAAAAAAAGAAGGAAGTAAGGGGCAGGGGGGCAGGTAGGGGACTGAATATCCTGCAGAAATGAAAGAGAACCAGAAAGATACCAGTTGCTCCCTATAACCCCAGTCAGTGAACATCATCCATTACATAAACTGAACTTCATCCTGCTAACAGAAGGCACTACTTTCAAATTAGGATCCCTGTCCATGAAATGCCTAGCAGTAGGAAAAATCATAAATAAATAATAGAGTACAAGGTGTCCAAGGGAGAACATATTGAAATGAAAATTTAATAGAGTCATTGAATTTCAAAGAAGAATTTAAATGAGTTAAAGACATCAAAATGATCAAAGAAGAAGTGGTTGAAATGGAAGACAGGCAAAGGAGATTTGACATATAATTGGAATCTCTAAAGAAGAAAAACAAAATATTTGAACTAAACAGATATTAATCCAAGAAAAATGTCCAGAAATAAGAAAGCCAAAATCTACATAATCAAAAAAGCCCACTGTGTCCCTGGGAAAATTGACTCAAAATGCTTAAACTGAAGACATATCATAGTAAAACCATTAGATCTTAAAGGCAAAAATTCCTCAGGACCTCAAGCAAAAGGGGCAAAGTATGTAATGGCTCGGAAAATTAGTTTGTCATCAGACTTCTCTAGAGTAGCCTATAAAGCAAGGCAAGAGTGGAGCAGCATTTTCAAGAAACTCAAAGATATAAAGTGTAAGCCAGAGGTGTTCTGTCAAGCTGTCCTTCATAGCAAGGCTGTGGAACAGCAGTTTAAAGCATGCTAGAACTTAGGAAAATACTGTATCCAGGAGCTCTTCCTAGAGAATATAGTAGAGCAGTGGTTCTCAAAGTGTGGTTCCCAGACCAGAAGCTTCAGAATCACCTGGGAACTTAGAAATGCATATTCTCAGACCCACCCCAGGCCTGCTGAATCAGAAGCTTTGGGGTGAGGTACATCAATTTGTGTTTTCTCAAATCTTACGGGTCATTGTGATACACAGTCCACAAAAGAATGAACTTCTTCCAGCCAAGGAATGATTGAGAACACTTTGGCAGAGGACGGACAGCAAACATTTAATATTACCAATTGTATATATAAGTCTTTAAAGTATTGCATCAATATTAAACTGAGTTTAATAACTGTAATGTGAATATTCAAGAACATCTTCTTGTGCCTAGAGAATACATGCTAACTTTAGGGTAAGGGGCTTTGATATATGTAACCTGCTCTCAGATAGTTCATAAAAAGTGATAAACATTTGAGCAACAAAAGGCAAACATGGCAAAATGTTAAAAACTGGTAAGTCTGGAAAGGATACATAGGAGGGTTTTTTTTTTTTTTTGGTACCATTCTTGCAAATTTAATGTAAGTTTTAAATTATTCCAAAATAAAAAAACTTAAAAAAATTATATGACCGTCATTCCTAACTAAATTATTTATGTTACCCCAGTTCTCTGTTTCATAGGTTTATTGTGTTTATTTGAAGGGAGCAACTTTTCATTTCTTTTAAATATCCTATACTTCAGGGGCATCTGGGTGGCTCAAAGTGTCTGACTCTTGATTTCAGCTCAGGTCATAATCTCATGGTCTGTGAGTTCCAGCCCTGCGTCAGGCTCTGCACTGACAGCACATGGAGCCTGCTTGGAATTCTCCCTCTCTCTCCCTCTCCCGCCTCTCCTGTGTGTGCATGTACATGCTCTCTTTCCCTCTCTCTCAGAATAAATAAATAACTTTATTTAAAAAGTCTTGTTCTAGAGTTGTCATCCTCAGTCATGCTAAAAAAAAAACTGTTAAATATAAGAGTACATTTTGATACTAAATTTTAAAAATTGGAATGGCTTTATAACTCAAAGTATTTAAAAATGTGATTGCTATTTATGATACAGTGTGATTTGAAGACAAGAGACACAAAATCATTTGATTATTTACATTTTTTTTCATCTCATAGTTCTGGGATCATTTGCTATAAACCTCATGTGGACAAAGCAGAAAAAGTTTTGCATTGAATACTTAAGCTTTTCACTCTGCACTGCTTAGTCCAAACAATATCCAGCAAATAAGTCCAGTTGTTTTTTAAATATACTAAAACTCAAAAGTATTTATGTGAATTAACTCAGAGTGGAAATAGTAAGGATGAGTACAAGCGGTGTGTCTGTGTTTTAAAAATTCATTTATTACCACTTTAACTCAGTTTTTAAAATCATAGTGAAGCACTTTGCTTTTCTTTTTAAAGATATGGATGTAATGAGGCCCTTAATAAATGAGCAGAATTTTGATGGGACATCAGATGAAGAGCACGAGCAAGAGCTGCTGCCTGTTCAAAAGCATTACCAGCTTGATGATCAAGAGGGTATTTCGTAAGTATTACGGGTTATATGTGTCCTTTTCTTTTCATTCAGTGTCTATTTTGTAATCTATAGGTAAAGCACTTTTCTAGATACTACAGAAGACACACGGATGAGTCAGATATTGTCCCCACCCTCAAGGTGTTTATAGTCTGTTTGGGGAAGAAGAAATACATCTAAAATACGGAGCCATGTGTGGGAATTGCTGCAATTGATATGTATTGCCGCAATACTAATTTTTTTATTTTAATTTTTTTTTTTAACGTTTATTTATTTTTGAGACAGAGGCAGAGCATGAACGGGGGAGGGGCAGAGAGAGAGGGAGACACAGAATCGGAAGCAGGCTCCAGGCTCTGAGCCATCAGCCCAGAGCCCGACGCGGGGCTCGAACTCACGGACTGGACCGTGAGATCGTGACCTGAGCTGAAGTCGGACGCTTAACCTACTGAGCCACCCACGCGCCCCTGCCGCAATACTTATTAAATGCTATGCATCCTGCAAGAAGGGAGATCTGATTGAAAGGAACAGAAATTTTAAGAGCAGTGGCTTCTGAAATAGGAGTTACGAATTAGGCGGTGAGGGGTAGTAAACACTTTTTTTATGCTGAGTTAATGGTGTGAAACAAAGTGGTGGTAAGAAAGCAGTGGAACCTTTTAGAACCCTTTTTTGTTATTTTGTCATCATTAATAGATTTGAGTAAGTTCTTACAGCAATAGTAATTTAACTGTTAAGCAAAGTTACATTTTAAGTGATCATAAAAGAACAGTATGAACTAAAAAAAAATTAGGCAAGCATGTTTGTTTTATACGTTTGAAATTTGGGCTATTCTTCCTAGTTTATTTTTTCTTGGTCAAGAGACTTCCTTCAAATGCCTCCTGGAAACTTAGGTGAAATACCTTAGGGAGTACTCGGTGTCTAAATGTTAATTAGTATTTATCTTACCTGATGATACGCATAGTTTTAAAACTTGTGTGATTTTTCTTTTAATTAAGCCCCTGTTAGGTTGATAATCATAGATCACATATACCGTGATGACAGTAGTCAGTGTCAATAAATTGCTTTGTCTTATCAGCCTAGCCATATATAATCTTTGGTATTGTTCTGAATGTCATAGCAGCAAAGAATCTTAGGAGAAAATTACCTTTTCTGTATTTCTTTAATAATGTACAAACATATTTTTCACTCAAATATCTAATTTAATCTCCATAATAATTTTCCATGTTCTACTTTTAAATGGCAAAGATAGGACTTGAACCAAATATGATCTCTGGCCAATTCAACTTCTGGTTGAGTGGAGTGCTATTTGATTCTTTGCCTAGATTAATTTTCGGTTCCCTTCCAATGCTAAAACAATGATCATGTGATTTTTATCAGCTTTTTTCCTAAAATGTTTAAATCTTACAACTTTTACTTTTCAGGTTTGTGCAAACTCTTATGCATCTTCTTAAAGGAAATATTGGAACTGGCCTTTTAGGGCTTCCACTGGCAATAAAAAACGCAGGCATAGTGGTAAGACTTCTCTTCGTGTCCTCTAGCTAAATTACAGTTATCAGTCTTGATTACAGCAAAAATTGCAGGCTAACTTCTGGCCTGTTCACACATAACCTGTTCAGGTGACAGTGAGTTTGTATTGATAATATTGGGTGAACAATAATAGTAACATTTAATAAAAAATGAGAATTAATTACTTTTTTAATCTCTGCTTAATTATTTATTTATAGCATTTGACAGAAAGATCCTAAAATAGTATTTGATTTTTCCAAGTATGGTTACATCTTATTATTCTTTTGGATTTTTCAGAGATTTAAGCAGTGTACTCATATCAAGAGATGTATTTATAGAGTAGCTTGTTTGTATTGGTGAAATTTTATAGTTTTTAAAATGGAGAATGAAATCTAGTTTTCAGATTTAAAGAGTTAACAGTTAAGAAAAGGAATAACAATATGTTTTGAAAACAAATATGCAAAGTATTATTATAACCAATTAGTGTAAGACTCTCAGGAAGGGAGAATTCACCTATGAAGTAATGGAATTATATTTAACCTTTTTTCAGAGTCTTAAACCCTTACCAGTTTTCTAAGAACAGTTTTAACTGCCACCTTTCCCTGCAGTTGATGTTGTCCACCCTAATTTAGAGAGACGTATAAATTTCTGATTATAAAAATAAGTTTTGACAATATTTTGTTGGGTTCTCAATAACCCAGGCATTACTTTGATTTTAGTAAACAAATACTTGTAATTTTTTATGTACCACTTTCTTAAATAATCTTTTTCTTGGCATACTTCCTCACACAAAGTAAGTGCTCAACAATCACCATCCCAGATTGGCATAGTGCTTTCTGGTCATTCAGATAGTGATTCATAGTTGCATTTAATTATAATGGTGGGACAGATGGTCATAGACTTACCATCTGAAGTTAACTGTGATGTTGTATGCTATCCTAGCTTATTGCATAGCTATACTCTGTATTCATGGGTTTGGATAGGCAAGCTGATGAGATGAAGTCCTATGTCCTTGTTGTAAGTATTGCTGAAATTCTTTCAGTATCAAGTTTATGAATTTCCCTTTATGCAAATGACTAATTATTTTGGCCAACAAATTTGTTTCCACAAAAGAGTAGTCCATTGGCTCATTGCTTATAAGGCAATTTAATTTCTGTTAAACTTAAATATTTAAACCTTATACATTTTCCCCCCACAGCTTGGACCAATCAGCCTCGTATTTATAGGAATTATTTCTGTTCACTGTATGCACATTTTGGTACGGTGCAGTCACTTTCTGTGTCAGAGGTAAATGTAAATTTGTTAAGTGTATTTTATTTATTTTAAAGCTATGTATTGATTTAAAACATTAGATAGTCTTAACTGTGCTTTACAACTAATAATTGATTTTCTCTAACCTGTTATATAGGCAAGTCTAAAATAATAAATATGTAAAAAGATATTTCCTGTGATTGAAATCTGGTCAGAATATATTTATTCCTCTTAAATGATAACCTTAGTAGTGAAATGGAATGATTTCTTTTCATATGAATAAAAAAAAATCAGGAAAGACCTGGAGGAAATGGAGGCTCCAGCACTACTTTTAGTTATAGAGTAATGGTCCTTAATTTGTTTGGATTTCATTTTAGGGTATAGTGCCTTTGGTGTTCTTTGCTGATATGTGGGTTGGTAAATAGTCAATAAAATAATATTCTTTTTCTTTATTTTTGTATCATGAAATGCTTCTACTGCACAGTGGACTTTTTTTTTTTTTTTCAACGTTTTTATTTATTTTTGGGACAGAGAGAGACAGAGCATGAACGGGGGAGGGGCAGAGAGAGAGGGAGACACAGAATCGGAAACAGGCTCCAGGCTCCGAGCCATCAGCCCAGAGCCTGACGCGGGGCTCGAACTCACGGACCGCGAGATCGTGACCTGGCTGAAGTCGGACGCTTAACCGACTGCGCCACCCAGGCGCCCCCACAGTGGACTTTTTTAAAAATAAATATTGCCTTTTCTAATAAACTAATATTCTGATTTTAACTCTTTTTGTTGTTGTTGTTAAATGTTCTTAAAACTTTGAGCAAGTCATTTATCGTCTTTAAATAATAATGATACTTATAAAAAAGTCGGAAAGAGAACATAGGGAAATAATAGCTACCTCATGGGGCTAAGTATTAGATAAGATAGTTTATGTGTAAATATGTTGTAAAGCCCTGTGCAGATGCATAAAATAATGTTCTTTTAAGAATGAATAATTTAGGCTTGAACAATGTAGTTGATGTTTTTAGGTAATTTAAATCAGTGAAGCACAAATATTTATGTTATATGACTTTTCCAAATTTATAAACTTTAACAGTAGATAAAAGCTAATATATTAGTAAAAAGACTTAAAATTTCATGAGACATATCTTAGGGTGTGCAGGTCTTGAAATCTCAAAAGCTCCTCTGTTATTGTATACCCTTACATTTATTATTTTCTATGTATTCGATGTTCTTTTCAAGGGTTGGATTTACGGACCAACTTAAAATTTGCCTTTTTCATGTGCATGTACGTCCTTAAATTGCAGGTTTAAAAAGTCAACATTGGGTTATAGTGACACTGTGAGTTTTGCTATGGAAGTAAGTCCTTGGAGTTGTCTTCAGAAGCAAGCAGCATGGGGACGGTAAGCACTTACTATGTTTCTAGTATCTGGTTATCAAAATCACATTACTTTTCAAGTGTTTTAAGTTGACAGGATACGTGAATAGAAGCGTGATAAAGCTGGGGGGATAAACATAATCTTTAGAGTTAGACAGGCTTGGGTTCAAATCTCAACTCTGCCATTTTTCAATTTTATGAACTGAGTCAAATGATTTATCATTTTGTTTTAGTTTTCACGTTATCAGATGACTTTATGGTGATACTTACTTCATAGGATTATCATAGTATTTAAAATTTTTTTTTAAATGTTTATTTATTTTTGAAGGAGAGAGACACAGAGTGTGAGCAGGGGAGGGGCAGAGAGAGGGGGAGACACAGAATCTGAAGCAGGCTCCCGGCTCTGAGCTGCCTGCACAGAGCCCAATGAGGGGCTCGAACCCACAGCCGTGAGATCATGACCTGAGCCGAAGTCAGATGCTTAGCTGACTGAGCCACCCAGGTGCCCCAGGATTATCATAGTATTTTAAATAAAATGATATTTATAAAGCATCTGGCTAACCTATGATATAGTCATGTTAATATTTTTTTTGAGGAAAGGAGAAAAAGCAAGAAAAATGTTGCAGTCTCATTATTTTAGATAAAATTGTGGTGTTTGGCTTTCATGCTCATAGAACATTTGAAGTGTGTATTTTAGCATAATCTTATTTTGCTATCTTATCATTTAAATGTAACTTCATCGTTGGTAGACATGGCTGATCAAAGCCAGCTGAAAATAGGACTGGAAAAATAGGCATAGGTAATCAACAAAATGCTGACAGTGGTACAAATGATATGTGCTGTGGAAATTAAAAGAAGGAAAAGAACAGTGGAGTGCTAGTAGAGTTTATGGTTAAATATGACCTTTCTGGGTATTTGCAGGAAGTTCGGTTTATTTATGAGCTTCTCAGAGTTCTTGATATGTCAAGTAGAAGAAGGAGGAAAGCAGACTAAAAGCCCTAGGATTTGCCCCAGAATCCTATCTTCTTCTTTCTTCTGCCCCAGAGTAGAGACAGCTTTAGTCTATTTTTTCTGTCAAGAAGAATGACTTTCATGTAGATGTGGCTGGAATGATTGTTGGTAAGATGCTAAAATCCAAGGTGGATGAAAAGATCTTAAGGGAATACTTAAACATAATTAAACGTAATTCATCAGAAAGAAGAAACTTGAATTCATTTCAGGGTAGTAAGATTCTTTACAATAAGGAGATCCCTGAAGAACCATGAGAACTATAGTTATGGCAAGAATGAAAATAAGCAAGGACCCATCCAATTTCAAATGAGAGAAGGAAGGTCTGTAGACTTGTAGACCAGATTGTTTGACAGCTTGACATTGATTGTCAAGCAAAGACTACAATGAATTAGTAGGTGAATGCTATTGTAGTTACTCATCATTCCCTGGACAAAATAGAGACGTATGGGCTGCATATTAATAATATGCAGGCAGATTTATAACTTGATTAAACACAATACCCAAACTATGCAAATTTAACTGGTGGCATCCCTTTCTCATTTCTGTACGCTATTTTATGTAGCTGGAATTCTCTCTCTCTCTCTCTCTCTCTCCCTCTCTCTCTCTCTCTCTCTTTTTAATGTTTGTTCATTTATTTTGAGAGAGATCATGAGTGGGAGAGGGAGAGGGACAGAGAGAATCCCAAGCAGCTTGCACCCCTGTTAGTGCGGAGCCCGACGGAGAGCTCCATCTCATGAACCCTGAGATCATGACCTGAGCCGAAATCAAGAGTCAGATGCTTAACCGACTGAGCCACCCAGGTGCCCCTGTAGCTGGAATTTTCTTAAGTTATCTCATTAAGAGATACTACTGGAGCTTACTCAGAGCTAAGCTACTGGATAAGTCTTTGGTTTATGATTTAGGGCCACACCCCCAGTCCTCTCCCATTTCATGTTCTTATTAGTGATTTGGATAGTGGAGAGCATGCTCACTCATAACATTTGCAAATGACATGAAGCCAAGAGAGCTGGGAAATACACTGGGTTAATCAGAAAAGGCTCAAGAAGTAGAGGAGATAGGCTTGATCTAAAAGATGAAATTTTTTCATGAAATCATTTTATAAGCATATACTCAGACTGTTGAATTTCAGAAATAAATGATAGGGAAATGTTGGCCTTTTAGCTGAATGGAACATCCTTTTGGTGAGTAATACTTCACTAGTTCACATACTGATAGCAAATGTGTGGTCTTTGAGGAAATAAATTTTATTTACTTATTTTATTTAAGGAAATGATAAGAATATAAGCTATGATAAAATGTTTTCAAATAGTTTAAAAAGAGAAAAATATATTAATATATCAGCAGCTCTTATTGATACTTATTTGTGGGTATCTCTTTTCAGGAGTGTGGTTGACTTTTTTCTGGTGATAACACAGCTGGGATTCTGTAGTGTTTATATTGTCTTCTTAGCTGAAAATGTAAAACAAGTAAGTATTTCTCTTCAGTTATGGAGATCAGTTTCTTCCCATTCCATAGTTTTGGCATCATATTTCCTTTGAGTAAACCATGGTGAATATGAAAATGTGTTGCTTTCATAAAGCATGTTCCTTTGTAAATTTTCCTTTAGTCTTCTTTTTTGTAAGTTGGATTTTCTGCTGCTGTTGTTGATTTTACTTTTCTTGCCATTGTATATCAGTAATGTTTGTTATGTCAGATCAGAACCAGACATAATTTGACTGATTCTTACATACTTGAAATTTAGGCCTCAAAAGCAGATACACAGATGTTTTGGAAGCATATTTTTAAATTGATTTTTTTATAAGTAAACATATTTGGTTTAGCCAGCAACCTAAAAAGTGAAGTAAAAAGAGGGCATTACTAAAATCCAGTAATTCTTGCTATTGTCTAAAAAGATACCATGTCCAAAAATGTGTAGTGTTTTGTAATTCTCTCCATATTTTAAGGGTTCACTTTTAAAGGAAGTGGTTTGCAGTCTTGGTAGAGACTGTCAATTTGAACAAACATGCAAAGCACTGAAATAAAAAAGCTCCCCTATCAAAACAGCGCCAAAATACATTTCTTTATGCACTTTAACTTGTAACTAGTACATTACACCCTGTTCTGCTTTAATCATTATTTTAATCAATAATATTTGTTAACTATCCATATGTGCATTGTACAATAGTAGACATCTTACATAGTAAGATACAGTACTTGTAGGTATTTTAATGCAAAATGATATGAATATGTTTTCTAAAGAACCTATATGTAGATATATAAGTATATATTTGACTCACTTTTTCAAGTATAAAGTATGCTTCATTTTATATTTAGACCAGGAATGACAAATTTTCTGGAAAGGTCCAGATAATAAGTATTTCCAGTTTTGCAGGTCATATGGTCTTCTTGACTTAGCCATAGACAATAATGATAGTAACAAATATATATGGCAATATTCCAATGAAACTTATTTCAAGAATTTAGGTGGTAGGCTGGATCTGGTGTTTGGGCCATAATTTGCTAAAGCCCCTAGCTTAGATTTTTAATGTTGGAAAGGCTCACGGAGTCAACCCTTCCTTACAAATAGGAGAGTAGATGCTTTCGTTAGCATTACTCATTATAGACAGTGTGCTTTTTGACTTACAAGTATTTAATTCCACAAGTTGCATATTCTTTTGACTACTAACTCAGTCAAGAGACTGCTGTCAAGAACTGATAAGACATATCATCTTACCAGTCATTTATGTAGAATATGATGAAAAATGATCCTTTTCCAGGATTATACAACACGGTAGTCATGTATCTTTTCTTTTATGTTCTAAGAGAGCCACCACAAACTTGATGTGAATTTAAGAATAATGCTAGCAATGCCTAATAATCTTATATTAATAAAGTATTGCATTTTTCATTTAGTTTTTCATTTAGTTTTTACCACTACTCTGTCATGTACAATGCTCATTTTTTGAATGTGTAAACTAAATCTCAAAAAGCATGAGCAGTGTGCCCTAAGTCATGCAGATTAAACTGAGAACTAGGTCTATGACACACTGGTGCCACCCATTACATTAATTGTTCATCACTGGACAGGACCTTGTCTGATTTTAGTTGTGCGTGTGTGTGCATATGACATAGAGTATGTAAATGCATACAATAAATGTCTATAAGCTTAGGGTTGGTGACTTTCTCCTATGAGATATTATCAGTTGCTTCCAAAGTTGAATGGAAGAATTTAACTCATTTGCACATGTTCTAAGAAGACCAGGCAGAAAAAGTGACTCTCTGGGAGAAGAATGCCTGCTATAGATGGAACAATGAAAGTCCTTTGAGTTATAAAAAGCAACATGGTAAAAGATACGCAGACTTGAGAAAAGTTGAAAGCAATGGTGAACACTTCACCTCAGCAGAGCAGACAGATGGTTATTGAAACAGTAGCATCAGAGGTTTTCACTCTCTGCAGATCTGTTCTCTCACATTTTATAGCAGTCTCCAAGAGTAGACACACTGGTTGATTATACGTTACCAATTACTATTGTTAGAGTTAAAAACTGTAAGTTTATTACCACATTAATCTACATAAAATCAAAGTTGCAATATTTTAGCAGATCAGAGAAGTAAGGGGTTAGTTGCCATACAGATGTGTGAACCTCCTACTCTGACTGCCACAGGACTGTTTTTGGTCCCATTAAGTAATTGTGGACAATTGGCAGGAGAAAATGAATGGATAGTACCTCCAATGATTTAATCCGTCGTGGTTATTGTAGCTCCCCTCTGTTCCTACTCGAAGATACTCTAGAACATTTCAGGTAGATAAAGTAGTGTTTTTGGGAATGAAGAGTGAGGAAGGGATATTAAGAGAGAAAAAAAGATATAGTGATACTTAAGACCGTGTATTTTAAAGACAGAATATCCACATTCAAATTGCTTCTCTCTCAGTTTTAAATCACACATTGGGCAAGATCTCCTTATCCCTGGTCAAGCTTCAGTTTCCTTATATGTAAAATGGGAATAATAACAAAATCTCCCATTGTTCCTCCTAAACTTATCATGAGGCTCAGGTGACAAAAGGTTTGTGAAAGCCTTTGCAAAATGTAAAGCAGTATACAAATATAGGGTGTTAAGGCTTTTTAATTTTGTATTTATTTTAACTTTGCTGAAGAACATAATCTACCTTTGGAATTTTAACCATTAAATTACTGAATCATTGAAAATTAATAAGTAGTAGATTTTAGTAAATTTAAGCTTTAAATGGAAACAACTGAATTTAGTAATTTTATTTTATAATATTTATTTCAGTGTTTTGCATTTTGGTAAACATGTGAGATCATAGGAAGTCCTATTAGATAGCCAATATCTGTCTCTAGAGGGCACCAAAGGACTCAAATGTTTACCTGAATCTTGCTCTGGGTATGTATCTACACTTTATTTTATTTTTTAATCCTGATGATTTTTATAATCATTTTTCTGGCAAAGAATACTAAATTATTATGAGATATTTGTGGTAGAATTAATTTCATGTTCCCAACCATCTCACCATTCAAACAACCCTTTTTAAAATTGGTTATATAACTGATTTTCTCTTGCCAGGTATCCTTGTTAGAGCTTAATGTTGATCATTATCTAATCTGATTATGGGTGGTACTTCTTTGATACAGAAGAATTTGGCTGTAAATAATTTTGTTACTGGGAAAACGAGTCAACAAATAAAATATGTTTTTAAAAGCCAAGTAATGTGAATTACCAATTTTGCTTCTAATTTCAGATTCTCAAATAGAAAGTTTTGGGGGTGCCTGGGTGGCTCAGTTGATTGAGCGACTGACTTTGGGTCGGGTCATGGTCTCATGGTCTGTGGGTTTGAGGCCCACATCACGTTCTGTGCTGACAGCTCAGAGCTTAGAGCCTGTTTTGGGTTCTGTGTCTCCCTCTCTCTCTGCTCCTCCCCTGCTTGCGCGCGCTCTCTCTCTCTCTCTCTCTGTCTCTCTCTCAAAAAAAAAAAATTAAAATACAAAGTTTTGATGGCCAATTACAAGATAAATGTGAGGTATGCATTTCTTAAATGGTTCATGGTATAACCTGAGAGTTTGTTAGTCCAGTACAAGTTACAAATTGCCTATCTAACTTAAAACTAGTAAATACATTGCCTGCAGTTTAAGGTGATATGTACATTTGTAGTGATACTAAACATTGTTTATCACAAATTAGAAGTATAGAATTATACTTCTATATAATTTTGTTTCTATGTAGTATATAGGAAACAGTTGAATTGTTAATCATAATTTTCTAAACTTCTGACTTATGGGCCTCTGAATGCTTATTATATTTAGAGAGAGAGATGTCAAAGTAGAGGGCAGGTGGCTACTTGAGCAAGGGGCCTCCCCTTTCCAAATTGCAGTATTTTGGTCCAGTTAACATGCAGCGGTCATAAGCTAAATTCTAGTGTCTCCCGCCGGGTTTGGATCCTAGAACTACCACTTACTGGCTTGATATTATGTAAGGTTTTTTTTAAGGCCCTTCCTTAAACTTCAGTTTCCTCAACTATAAGTTGACATTAATACTACTACCCATCTCAGACAGTTGTTTTGAGGATTAGATGAGATGTTGTATATATTTAGTTCAGTACTCAAAAAATGTTCCCTATTATTATTATAGGATCTTGTTCTTAAGAATTTAAGTATCTAGAGACTTGATAATGTCATTGTGTTCAAAGGAGGGTGTAGAGTGTTTGTGGGCAAATAGATTTTCCCTAGCATTTAAATTATAATATTATATACCTCTGCTGTGAGTTTGTAAGAGTGTTTGTAGAGTCCTGTATAATTTCATTTTTGTTTTAGTAAGTTGGATTATGTGATTAATTGAATGAGACAAGTTTTAATATGTGGAACCTACAAATTACTGTAACTCTTGAACACTGAATGTTGGTATATAGAAGTGGCTGAATTAATTTGAAGGTAAAGTTGATTTATTGAAGTTTTTTGCTCTAGCAAAAATTTATCTACATCTAGCACATGGCCATGCATGTATTGATAGTGATGATTATTTATTTATTTAAAAGCTTTTATTTTTAAGTAATCTCTATACCCAGCATGGAACCTGAACTCAACCCCAAGATCAAGAGTCACACGCTCTAACTGCCTGAGCCAGCCAGGCACCCCTTTGATAGTGATGATAATTTATAAACAGTTGTTTTATAAAACAGCTTTAAAGTTAGGCTATGATTTCTAAACTTTATCTTGACTACTGTACATTTCTAAGAGGTATATGAGCTTGTTACCTTCTCTGAAGAGAGTAAGTCAGAGTAGGATATCTGGAGTAGAATATGGTCATTCTAGGCAAGTATACATCCACTTTTGATTATCTCAGAAGCAGGTTGAGCCTTTGCTGGAATCATGAGCACAAAGCTCCAAAATAAATTGGTAAATTCATCCTCATAATTTTCTAGTGAACTTTATTTTTACAGTATGATAAAAGAAGTTGTTTTGCAAAGAATTATCCTATTTTAATTATCCTTAAATTTGATAAATATGTATTTCTAGGAAGCTAGAATATCTTGAAAAAATATAAACATTTATTGTAAAGGAATTATCATAGAGTGTATAGGTAATTTCTTGATATTTTGTCACTTATAAGTTGATGAAAGTTTTTTTCTCCCCCTCTTCCTTATTCTCCTGGTAATCCTATGTAGGTTCATGAAGGATTCCTGGAGAGTAAAGTGTTACTTTTGAATAGTACCAATTCATCAAATCCATGTGAGAGAAGAAGTATTGACCTAAGGATATATATGCTTTGCTTTCTTCCATTTATAATTCTTTTGGTCTTCATTCGTGAGCTAAAGAATCTGTTTGTGCTTTCATTCCTCGCCAACCTTTCCATGGCTGTCAGTCTTGTGATAATTTATCAGTATGTCGTTAGGGTAAGTATAACATGTTTTTAACCGTTTTTAACCTATGGTTCTTATAACTAATTCTTTGTTCACTTTGGAGGTAAAAGTAATGATGTGTGAAGACCCCTACTTCGTTATGTGGCACACAGGAGATAATCAGTAAACTTGGGGCTCCTGCTCAGCTGGCAGAGTGTGTGACACAGAGCGCAGGCTTTGTCTTCAGGCTTGGTTTTGAATCTTGGTAAATCTGTTTCTGGGCTTTGTGACACTGCTGCAGAAGATAATGATACCTACCCTATTGAGTTGTAAGATTTAGGAGTGCCTCAGTACACTGTGTAACAGGAAACAAAGAACTCACTAGTGTTTTCTTTATTCTTGTAAGATTTGAACCAGTCTCGAGATGTAGTTTTATAATTTTCTTTGACTTCTGAACCTGTTTTTGCTGCCACCACTTCCATTCACTGCCACTCTACTAATCTGTAGCCTGTCTGTCTGAAGTATGCAACCTCAGCTGATTTCATTGTCTGAAGTCTGGGGATCCTAACCCTACAAGGACTATCCTTAAAAAAACATTGGTTCATGGGATTCAGGGGATCTGCAAATCCCTTAAAATTATTTGCAAGATTTAGCATCTCTGTATGTATATATGCATTCTTCTACTGAGCAGTGTATAGCTTTCATCTCTAAGGGGCTGAGGACTCAGAAAAGGTCAAGAATGCCTGCTCTAGTCTTTCCTGAGCCAATCCATTTTGTATATTGCTGTTGCAATTGTCCTAAAACCTCCATTGGCAGTTTATCACAAACTCTGTTATGATGGGTCTGTTTCATTCCCCCTGCCCTGAATTCTAAAACCTGTAGACATTTTCTTATTGTACATAAGATGGAAGGGAACAGGCAAGAACATCTCATAAGGCTGTAGTTCACGACCCCTTACCTGAACATGTAAGAATTAGTGGAGCAGAAAAGGTAGTTCCTTAGGTAGAGGGAACAGTGTGAGTCTTGAATAACAGGTATTCTCAGATGACCCAAACACTTAAATATCCCTTTCATTTTGACCATAACTTGTATTTTCCATCATGGATAACCATTATATCACACAAGTCTCCCTACGCTTCTGATATTCTAGACCTCTTAATTACCCAAATTATCCATGTGCTTTTACACTTCAGGTTATTTTTTTCATCCTCTTTTCTTGATCTTGAATTCCACTTCCAATTAAGGAGGGCAGAGAACACAGGGTGGTAAACAGAGTAGGAAGCAGACTTGGGATAGCTGGAAGATATAGTCGTTGTGGAACCAGAGATCTTGAACAAGATGTACAGTTTGTGAGTCTCCGGATGGCAAAAGTTGGAACAAGGCTGTGGGTGGGGGCTGAGTAATCAAAGCCAGGGTCAAGGAGTATGTACGAATAAGAAGAGTGATGGCAACTGGCTGGTTAAAGTGTAAGACACTGCATCAAGGAGACCTTTACGAGGAAGCAGCAGAGTTATGAGGTAGAAAGCCAAAATCAGGAACCAGGTGACTTGGAGATGGAAAGAGCAAAACAGAGTAGAAAATGAATTTCACTGGACACCATGAGCAGTGGTTGATAACTGACTATATGGCACTCAGTTCAGACTGAGTATGCTTATGTTATTTCCTGTTGTGCCAGGAGCCATACCCAGTGTGAACAGCCTGGGACTTGAAGGTGGAAACAGGTAATCGGGAGCATTGAGCTCAGATGGAATGTGTGGGCATGAGGGAAACAATGGCTTTTGGCAGTGAAATTCTAACAGCTTGGCTACATTTAACATAGGTGCTTAAAGTGTTTATTGAAAGAATTATTCACTTTTATAACATAAATTTGTTACTGTGAAGCTCAGAAGTATATGATGTCACGCTTTCGTTTTACATTGTTTAAAATAAGTAAAGATGTAACTTCTCTTGTTTTTTTTTTTTTTCTTTTTCCAGAATATGCCAAATCCCCACAATCTTCCAATAGTGGCTGGTTGGAAAAAATACCCGCTTTTTTTTGGTACTGCTGTGTTTGCTTTTGAAGGCATAGGAGTGGTAAGGATTTGTTCTTTATTATTGTTCATAAAAATTTTAAGTTAACGCAAAGATTTATGTAGTCAGACTACATTTAAAATGCACTTTTCTTTTTTGTTTCTATTTTCTTCATTACCAGAACACTATTTGCAGTTTGATAGGGTAGACTTGAATTATAGTTTAGTTTAGATGATTTTTAATGTTTTATTAAGGAAAATTTCAAGCCTGATATAAAATCTTGAGAATAGTATGATGAACTCTTGTATAAGCATCACCCAGCTTTAAAAACCAACTCATGGCCGACTTTGTTTTATCTGTATTCCATCTACTCTGCCAAGCCCAAGTTACATTCAGACAAGCCCCAAACATCATATTTTATAGACTAGATGATTTGAAGTGGATTGAAATTGTTACAAAGTTGCCATTACATAGAAGAATCAAATATAAATTCTCCCTTTAGATTTGCACATGTCATATTTGTTTTGAGAAATGATAATATCATAAAGCTAATACCAAGAAATACAAGTACCCTGAGGATTCTAAGATCTTAAATATTTCCATTCAAGATGCTTCCAGTCTATTTAAAGCCTGAAATGTGTAGATTTGGGGAAAATAGAAGATTGCTTTCTGCTCTGCAGCGTATGTTCCATTGTCAGATGGTTTGGTACAGGAGCAAAACCACTTATACATCTATGTGAACTACAGATGAAATAGATCTACAAGACAATTTTACAGCATTTTGCTTGCGTTCCTTGTCTCTCTGAATTCTCCTTTAGAGAATTCTCACATATTCTTACAGTTCCACTTATCACTGTTACAGAAATAACTGCAGGTTTTCACTTATGTCTTTAACCAGCAAGCTCTAGTTAACTATTGGACATTTCCAGTTAAGTTGTTCCTCTGACATCTTAAGTTCAGCAACTCCAGAGCACTACATAGACTGTCTTATCTAAAACCAGCTTCACTTTCTCATGTCCTGTTACTTTCAGGTTTTTTTTTTTTTGCAGTTGCTCAAGCTTGAAACATTGGAACAGTTCCTTTCACTTTGCCCCTGGTTCCCCCATTCCATCAGTAATGAAGGCATGTCTGTTTTTCTTTCCTGTTTCCCCATAAATGAAAATACATTTGAAACACCCAAATGCTATCTAATGTGAAGGAGCCTATCTAGATATGAAGGAGCCTATCTAAATGTGAATTTCCTTCCCTTTCTCCTTTTGTAGCCACACCAGCACCATTCTTGACTGTAGCCCTTTATTTCAGGTCTGGATGATCTTTACAGCATCCAAATTATTCTCTCTTCTGTTAACCAGTTAGTATTCCCATATGGACCTATCACCTCAAAAGTGGAGATATTACTAGAGTTATTATCTCATAGTGTTATTTTGAGGACCACATGAGATGCTGCATTCAAAGCATCTAGAAAAATACCTGGCAGGGGCTGGTCCAAGATGGCAGTGTAGGAAGATCCGGAACTCCCCCCTTCCCAAGGACACACCACGTCAACAGCCACATATGGAATAATCCCCCTGAAGAAGAACTGAATGCTAGCTGAAGAGTTCCTCCACAACAGAGGATGAAAGGACCCCATCAAGACAGATGAGGGAGACAGAGATGAGGTTTCACCAAAAACCCCATCCCCAGTGCAGCAACCCAATATAGGGAGCTTTTATCTGAAGAGCAAGGGGTTTGTGACCCACATCAGGCATCCCAACCCTTCAGACCTGCACTGGAGAGACAAGTCCCCAGTGGGGCTTACATCCGTGGGATCCAGAGGACTGTAGGATCTGAGAAACTCCTTTTTAAAGGGCTCGCATATGGACTCACTTGCCCCAGAACCTAGCATAAAAGCTGCAGTTTGAAAAGTGCCTAGGCTATATGTGGAGGAGATTTTATTTGTGAATCTTAAAGAATCTTCTGGAGAGGCAGGGACATGTTGGGACTTTCTCTGGGGATGGAGGCACTGGTGGGCACCATTTTGGCAGTCTCCCTCTGTGATGCTGGCACAGGATGACACTCAAAAACACAGCAGCCTCCCTCGGCCTTGCTAACAATGGTGGTTGTGCCCTGCCCCCAGTGCTATTCCCCTGCCATACTAAGGCTGTGGGCAAGTGTAGTCCACACAGGGGACACCCCTTGATCCCTGGCCCTGGTGGCTAGGAGGTTTTATGTTCCAGGGCCCCATGGGACTGTAACAATGGGAAAGACTGTTCTTGGCAGGCTGCCATGCCCAGGGTGCTGTACAGACAGTTGACTGAAATGTACTCCAGTTTGTCAGCAAAAAAGGCTTATTTACAAGTTCTGAAGCTTTAACCTGAGGGACAGGCTTCAGGTTTGCCATGCATCTTGAGGCTACCAAAGCACTCTGAAGGAACACAGGGAGACACCGTCTTGTGCTCTCCCTTGGCCTTGCTACAGCCTGGTGGTACCTCCCAGAAAGGAGCTTAGAGTGTTGTCTGAAGCCTCAATTTTTGCAACTGTTATCCAGGGGACCCCTCCAGATCTCCTACTCTAGAGGCCATCAGGGTTAACAATTATAGCCCTACATACTGTATATTTCCATACTTTAAACGCTGCTGCCCAGGAATCTGGCTTTCAACTGTTCTGAAATTTAGTACTGACTAAAATCCCCACACTGGAACACTGGCAGGTCTTGGCACGCCCTCAACAGCTGTAACTTCTCAAGATTAAATCAGGCTGCTTAGTCACAAAGGTTCAAGAGACAGCCAAGACCTAGGTCAAGGTTGAATGATGAAGTTCATCTCCTACACAAGGTCACTCCTTCAGGACTGGGAGATGTAGCTGTTTCAGTTAATACACAGAAACAAACACAAAAAGTCAGGAAAAATGAGATGGAGGAATGTGTTCCAAATGAAGGAACAAGACAGAACTTCTGAAAAAGACCTTACTGAAATAGAAGTAGTCTATTAGTGGGTAAGAGTTTAAAGTCATGGTCATAAAGATGCTGATGGGATTTGGGAGAAGAATGGATTGACACAGTGAGAACTTCAACAAAGAGAGAAAATATAAGTGCCGAACAGAAGTCACAAAGCTGAAGAACGTGCTAACTGAGCTGCAAAATATACTAGAGGGGTTTAGCAGCAGACCAGATGAAGCAGAACTCATCAGTGACCTCGATGACAAGGCAATGCAATTCACCCAGATGGAGCAGGAAAAAGAAAAAGAAAAAAAAAAAAACTTTGAAAAAGTAAAGTTTAAGGAAGCTGTGGGATAACATCCGGGAGAATAACATTTGCATTATAGGAATCCTCGAAGGAGGAGAGAGAAAAAAGGCATAAAAAATAACGAGGAAGTAACAGCTGGAAAATTCCCTAACCTGGAGAAGGAAACAGACATGCAGGTCTACAGATAGTTCCAAATAAGATGAACCCAAAGAGACCCATACAGAGACACATTGTAATTAAAATGTCAAAAGTTAAAGAGAGAATTTTTAAAGCAGCAAGAGAAAAACAACTTGTTACCTACAAGGGAACCCCCATAAAGCTGTTAGCTGATTTTTCAGCAGAAACTTTGCAGAACAGAAGGTAGTGGAATGATATATTCAAAGTGCTGAAAGGAAAAAAAAAAACAAACAAACCAAAAACTTATAACCAGGAGTACTCTACCTGGCAGGGTTGTCATTTGGAATTGAAGGAGCTCTTAAAGTGAACAAAAGGGTGAGCATGGCCATCCTTGACTTTTCCTGATCTTAGAAGAGAAGTTTCAGCTTTTTATTGTTGAGTTGGTACTAGCTGTGGGCCTGTCATATGTGGCCTTTATGATGTTGAGTAATGTTGCCTGTGTACATACTTTGTAGAGTGGTTTTATCATGAATGGATATTGAATTTTACAGATGCTTTTTCTGCATCTGTGGTGATGGTCATTTGATTTTTTTCCTTCATTTTGTTAATTTGGTGTATCATGTTGATTCATTTGTAGATGCTGAATCCTCCTTGCATCCCGGGAATAAATCCCACTTGATTGTGGCGTATGATCCTTTTAATGTATTATTGAATTTGGTTTGCTAATATTTTGTTGAGGATTTTTACATTTTACATCTGTGTTCATCAGGGATATTGCTTATAATTTTCTTTCTTTCTTTTTCTTTCTTTTTTTTTTTGGTATCCTTGTCTAGTTTTGATATTAGGGTAATGCTGGCCTCGTAAAGTGGGTTTGGAAGTGTTCCCTCCTCTTCAGTTTTCTGGAAGAAGTTGAGAAGGATAGGTATTAAATCTTATTTGAATGTTCGGTAGAATTCGCTTGTGAAGTCATCTGGTCCTGGACTTTTGTTTGTTAGAAGTTTTTTTGATTACTGATTCAGTCTCCTTACTAGTAATCTTTCTATTCAGATTTTCTGTGTCTTCAGGATTCAGTCTTGGAATTATATATTTCAAGGAATTTATCCTACTTCAGTTTATTGGCATATAGTTGTCCATTGTAGTCTCTTATGACCCTTTGTATTTCTGTAGTATCAGTTGTAACTTCTCTTTCATTTCTGATTTTGTTTATTTGTGCTCTCTTTTTTAACTGGTGAGTCTAGCTAAAGGTTTGTAAATTTTGCATGGCAACTATAGGCAGTAATACTTTATTGCATATTTGAAAGTTGCCAAGAGAATAAATCTTTAAAGTTCTCATTATAAAAAAAATTGTAATTTTGTATGATGATGGATGATAACTAGACACGTGGTGATCACTTTGCAGTGTATACAAATATCAAATTATTATGTTGTACATCTGAAACTAATATAATGTTCTATGCCAATTTTATCTCAATTAAAAAATGGTAAATCGTAAGTACTTGGTAAATAATTGCTGTTATTATTTCTTAGTGTCTTTTACTGTATGATCAGATCACCTGGCCAGAACCTCTGAAGAATTGTCTAAAGTAGCTTAACTCTTCAATTAGCTTTTTTTTTCTTTTTTTTAAAGGTTTTTTTACATAATAAACATAACTTACTCATCTCACAAAATTGACACACAGTAGATACACATGGATACAGAAGCAGTTATGACATGAATATACATAGGTTAGTATGCACACATGTATTTCCTAGCACCATCAGATAAGAAGTCCTATTAGCAGAGATACACAGTCACTACAAGCCTGCTCAGCACCCAGATCTTGATTTCTAAGTACCATTCTACAACAAAAGAACGAAATTTCCTTGGAGAAATGGCTGATTCTGGGGCTGAAACCAGGAAATTCAAGATGAGTCTGGAGTGTTTTGTAGTGCCAAAAAGTATGGAAGTGCTCAAAAAACAAAAGAACAGAGGCATGTCAAAGGACTACAAGGAATACGAGAACCTAATGGGATTCACAATGACCAAAGCTGGAACAATATGAGCAACAAAATAAATAAATGCTTTGGATTCATACCCAAAGTATAAGACAATATACATGAATGCATACTAGTATAAATGAGCAATTAAGTAAATTTGTACATAGAGGGATTCCCAAATCACTTATGTAGGTATTCCTCTCCGGGAGGTGTAGCTTAACCCCCCCCCCCCCCCCCCCCAGTCCCTGAATTATGGGCCGCATTTAGTGACTTGGCTTCCAACAAGCAGAGTATGATGAGAAAGAAGAAAAGACCTTTACAAGCAGAGAAACCTGGCAAACACTGCTGTAACCAAGTGATCAAAGTGAATTTCACCAGTGATAAATCATGTTGATAGTATGTGTGATGAGAAGGGCATTTCACTTCTGTGGTATCTTATTCTAAAATCTATAATCCCAGTGTACAAACATCAGGCAACATCAGACAAGCCCCAGTAGAGAGAAATTATACCAAATATCTAATCAGTACTCCTCAAAACTGTCAAGATGATGAACAATGATAAAGGATTGAGAATCCATCACAGTTAAGAGAAGACTAAGGGGACAGGAGATATGGTGACAAAATGCAATGTGACATCCTGGAAGGGACCCTGGAACGGAAAAAGGACATTAGTGGAAAAACTAATGAAATCCAAATAAAAATTTGGAGTTTAATAATGTACCAATGTTGGTTCTTAGTTGTAACAAATGTACTTTAGTAGTATAAAATGTTAACATTAGGGGAAACTGGTCAGGGGTGTATGGGAGTTTTTTGTTTGTCTTTGCAACTTTTATGTAAATCTGAAGTTATTCCAAAATAAGAAGTTACTTACAAAAATCTGACAGGTTTGCTTAGTAAGAGCTGATTTCAGACCTTTTTAAGGATTTATTTTTTATTTATTTATTTATTTATTTATTTATTTTATTTATTTTTTTTTTTTCCAACGTTTATTTATTTTTGGGACAGAGAGAGACAGAGCATGAACGGGCGAGGGGCAGAGGGAGAGGGAGACACAGAATCGGAAACAGGCTCCAGGCTCTGAGCCGTCAGCCCAGAGCCCGACGCGGGGCTCGAACTCACGGACCGCGAGATCGTGACCTGGCTGAAGTCGGACGCTTAACCGACTGCGCCACCCAGGCGCCCCAAGGATTTAAAAATCTGTAGTGTAAATAATATATATAACACCAAGGAAAATATTCAGTGATTTATTATGTGTTTTTTAAAAGGAAATAAAATTTGCATATAAACTATAGAAAGATTAATTTGTGTATATGTAAGACAAGTATATATGTATACTTGTGTATATATAAGACAGATCATTTTAAATGACTTGTATTATCTACATTCTCTTTGTAGGTCCTTCCACTGGAAAATCAAATGAAAGAATCAAAACGCTTCCCCCAAGCATTGAATATTGGCATGGGAATTGTTACAACTTTGTATGTAACATTAGCTACTTTAGGATATATGTGTTTCCGTGATGAAATTAAAGGCAGCATAACTTTAAATCTTCCCCAGGATGTGTGGTAGGTGGACCTGATTTTGTTAATCCTAGCTTGTATACTCTATAAATATAGCTTACCAATGTTTGATGACAAAGATGTATTTTTGGATTTATGGTTTAAACATTTAAAATTTTTTTGTGATTCCTTATTTGTATAACCTTATTTGTGATTTCTTATTTTATTGTGATTTCACAATCTTCAGAGACCATCTAGTATATTATAGGTCCTTTTGAGATTCTTTGAAAAGATTAAAAATTATAGGATATCCCACATTTGAGTAAAATATCAAAGTAAAACATGGATTCTTTTAATATGGACTCACTATAATAAAAATTGTAATACATGTACTTGATGCCAAAAAATCCAACACTCTGGGTTCCTGATAAAATAACCCATCACTTATGACCCTCACTATTTTACTGGTAAGCTTTAATCTTGTACGTACCCCAAGTCCTTTCAGAGCATAAGTAGGACACATTATAAAAATATAATATGGTGCATCTTAATATTATCTTAATATTAGAACCGTATTCTGCAAAATGAAGAATTATATAGGATTTTTCTTTCTTCCAGAGATTGGTCCCTGGAGATTTTAAAAGCTATTGCTAGTGATGACCATGTAGACGTGCACCCTTATTTATAAAATGGAAGATAACTCCTTAGTTTTGATAAATACAAAGAATAAATTTTAAATTGCTGATTTAATTAATGTCACACTGCTCAGGCTGCTTGGATAGAAGTCTGTGAAACCTGAAATGTTTTAAAATATTATATACTCTGGCTTTCTGTTTGTAGTTTGGGAGTTTGTCTACCATTCAGTAGACAAGTCCTGGGTTTTTATTGGAGTTGAAAATGTTGTAAGACCAAATGCATATAGGAAGTCATTTCTGGTAGAAAGAATATACCTAGAATAGTTTCCAGGCTGCACAAGGGACACACATGCAGTGTGTTTATTTTTTAAAATTATAGTTCTGCTTTAGCCATGACCCATTTTATAAATGTATTTCAAGATGGAAGCATGTTGTTTCAAATGTTATACGTTTGTTTCAGGCTAGAGACAGGACTACAAACAAGATATATAATTTTAAGCATTTATTTCATTAATCTACATTATAGTTGATTATATAATTTTGTTTCCTCCAAATACACCTCTTTTTGTAACAATTTAATATGGACTAGCACCTTAAACAGCTTAATATAAGAATCAGGCTAAAAATTATGGTATCATAGGTCCTCTTTTCAGATACCATATAATGAAAACAGTGATATCTTTCTGCACTTAGAATAATATTTAGAATAAATCTTAAGAATGATTTTATACAGGGGTGCTTGGGTGGCTTAGTCATAATTTCAGCTCAGGTCATGGTCTCATGATCGAGAGTGTGAGCCTCACATCAGGCCCTGTGCTCATGGCGCAGAACCTGCTTCAGATCTTCTGTCTCCCTCTCTGTGCCTCTCCCCTGCTTATGCTTGCTCGCTCTCTCTCTCTCTCTCAAAAAAAGATAAATAACTGTTAAGAATTTTTATAAATAAAATTGGCGACTTTCAATGTCAAAACTAAAATATAGGTGGAAACAGTCTCAGAATTCTTCCCAGAGAGAAGGGACTGAAGTGGGAGCACGCACATCAAGTTCAGATGTTCCTGTCCCCAGAGAGTTAAGAGCATGGTGAAGGAACAGTGGGAAAGATGAGTAGGGAATGCTTCTTGTATTCAGTAAATCCTGTGGGAGCAATACTGTCCCTTCAATAGTTCTATTTAATCCTTCCCTTTTTCCACATCCCCTTCCTGCTCTCACCTTATCCCTAATTGCTATGGCTTTACCCTTAGAACAGAATTAATTGCAAGTATTGATTAAAAAGGGACCATTGCATCATCATTTCTATTCAAGAAAGCTTAGCTAAGTCACCCACTTTTCATTTAGAAGAAAGGCTAGTTACACGTATTCTAAGAAACAAAGATCTGAGAGAAAACAGAAAGCAAGTGAAGATATGCTATTCACCTTTAGAGAACTTGTGTTAGGTAGTTCCTTCTCCTTGTGGAGATAAGCCTTGTGTGGCCTACTGTCCATTTCGTTATGGTCTCTGCAGCTGGGACAGTTAAGATAATAGCCAAGACTGAGAAAGACTGCTGAGGAGATGCTTGTCTTGTTATAGTGATAGTCTTCTGTAAAAGGAGGAGTTTGGACTGGAATGATCATGGGATTATATCTAAGATTTTTTTCTTGTTGTGCTCTGTATGAGTCTTTTCCTTTCCTTCCCTGTGCTTAGGACGATACAGGCCTAGGAAGTCCGAGAATGTGCAGTGTACTCTTTACTGTCGGTATAAAAGCGGATGGCTGTCGTAAGAGCCTAGGGAACCCGTAGCTGCTAGCTATGAGGAGCTGTAAAGGGCTTTTGATGTCATGTGACTTAACATTGTCAGAATTCATAATGGGTATTCCTACAAGAAAATATTGCATTAGAAAGCAGCCCCGGGATAAAGAAAGTATGAATTAGAGAGGCTCCAGGTTATTAACTATTTATTGTTTGAGGTGACATCTTTTAAAACTAGTTATGAGTTGTATTGTTCAGTGGATCACATTTAGATTTTTAAGCAAAGAATGTGTCTTAGAGATGATAATTGAGCTAAAATATAAGCACTGTAAGGGCAGGAACCCTTCATCTTTTAGGCTGATGATGTAGCTCCGTGATCTAGCACATTGCTCAGCATTTAAGAGGCCTTTGGTAAATGATTGCTAAATAGGAATCTAGGTTTAATAGCATTTCCCACGTTACCTGATAATATAACCAAAGCACCACTACTAGTCCTAGTTGAGTGATGTTTTAGCAGTGTATTTCCAAGACTTCCACTAACGTAACCCAATTACCAGTGGAGAGAAAAAGACAAAAGTGTTCCCTTGGGAGTCTTGAGAATAGACTTGCCCAAGTAGCCTGCCTCAAGCATAGTATCAGCTCCTGCTCTGTTTACATAATCATAATCTTGATGTTGCTTTTTGTAAAAATAGTTCTCCCTCCAAAAAACCTTTGAAACTGGTACTTCAGAGCGACCCACTGTGTTTAGCCCATCCTCTGAGAACCCCCAGCACACTGCCACCCAGGAAGGAATGTGTCCTCTGAAGAGCAAAGGCACAGTGCAGTTGCAAGCAAAAGAACCAAGAGGAAATAACCTTTTGATTTAAAAACACTATACAAGTGAAGCCACCATGATAACATTACACAGGCCATAAAAGGATGTTTCTTTTTGTCTGGATCGATAGGAAGAATTTTTCATATCACTTTATGTAGATTCTGTTCTTCACACCGTGGTCCCAGGGGTTGACATAAATTGCTGTGTACTACTTTAACTTCTAGACTCTTCTTACCATCAAGGAGGTCCCAAATAGGAAAAGTGTGCATGAAATTAGCCTGAAGAAAATACTGGAATGTTGGAATTTGGCAGACGAACAGTATTTATGTTGGAGCATGGATACCACATTCATTGTAAAATCTTCCTAGATTACATGTCTCTCTACCTCCTCTAATAGCAATTTCTGGAATGTAAGCCATCAGGTGAAGATTTCTAGTCAATGTTGTAAGGGAAGGTGTGGAGATTTGAGCATCAATGGTGGTAGAACAAGTTCACAAGAGGACTTAAAATAGCACAGAGTGTTTATGTGGGTTCTGTCTTACTGCGTCCTTCTGAGTGATGGTATATACATCATAGGAACAAACATCTTTCTCTTTGTTGCGGTTTCCTTTGTTCACTTTTGTTATGTTGCTTGCTTTTTACTAGCCCGAAACACGAGGTCTGTTCCATACCCCTTCACCTTTTCCCCAGCACAGTTACCGTGCCTTCTTATTTGGTTCCAGTTAGTGGCTTTTTAACTTTTCAAACTAGAACCTATAGTAAGAAAGGAAAATGTTTTATAGAAAAACCATCATAGAAATAAGTGTATGTGCGTCTGTGTGTATATGCGTTTTTGTGGTACACACCACCCACACACATGTAAATAACTGAAATAAGTATAAGGCTAAATAAAAACACATATTTTCTGCATACAGTGTCCCCTGATATTCTCTATTCCAGTCTATATATTAGGAAAAAACATATTCACAACTCACCTCACCCAATTGATATCATAGCCCCTTTAATGGTTCCTGATTAGAGTTTGAAAAATCCTGGCCTAGAATAAATTCACATGTTACTCATTCATTCAGCACACATAGCACTTCCACTAAATATCAAGGGTATTAGGTTTTCATACAAACAAATATTGAGAAGCAGGAAGGTGCTTCTGCTGTCCCACATGTGGCGTTCTTTCTGAAGCATGTATTGAATAGGAAAAATTCAGTTAAAAAAATAGAGAAGAATAATTGGGGCACCTGGGTGGCTCAGTAGGTTAATCATCCAACTCTTGATTTCAGCTCAGGTCATGATCTCATGGTTTGTGAGATCGAGCCCCTTATCAGGCTCTATGCCGACAGAGTGGAACCTGCTTAGGATTCTCTCTCTCTCTTTCTCTCTGCCCTTCCCCTGTTCATGCTCACGCTCTCTCTCTCTCTCTCTCAAAAATAAATAAATAAACATTTTTTAAAAATACAGAAGAACCATATAAGAACAGGGAAGGCATAGGGCAGGCATTTTGATTTATTAAGATAATTGAACTGGTACTTCATTTTCCTCCCCAAACAGAACAAACCCCAAGTCTAAGCCCATGTTTGTAGCATACCCAAGCTATGAACATGAATATTCTGGGAAATGAAGCTGACAAGTAATGGCAGGTAATCAAGCCATGTCTTAATGGATCCTACCAGGCAATCAACGGTTTGAACTCTGAGGAGCTTGTTACCTACAGTGAAAATATTTAGGCAGGAATGGACTCACCAGAGGGCACGATAAAAAAGCAGTAAGAGAAATAAATTTAAGAAAACTGGAAAAATAAGATTCATATATCCTAGACTAATCCCTCTGTCCTCTCCCTCACAAATTCTTTTTTTTTTTCCTCATTACACTTTTGTTTTAATGGGTGTCAACATTCTGTGACAAATTTAATTATCTTTTTGCAATATTAAAGTTGCCTGTAACTGGGAATCCTGGCCTGCCCAAACTGCCTCTGACTTTCCTCATCAGAATGACTGTTACTAATTATATTAAATTCAAAATGAAGGGCATTTCACAGATACTTAATTGTATGCCTTTTATGTACTAGGTATTGTTCCAGGAACTAGTGGTGAACAGATGAAAAATCTCTTCCTCATGATACTTAGTTTAGTGAATATGCTCTAAAAGTTGAGTGGTTTACATTATTCAATCCAGTTGTGAAGAGTAAATAACCCTTGTCTTAGTTTTCAGCTTAGCATGAGGTGAGGTTCTTGGTAAGGGTTGTAGTTAGTCCTCAGACTTGTCTCTTCTTAACAGAACTAAGCTCAGATTCTTTTTTTTTTTTAATATTTTTTAATGTTTATTTATTTTTGAGAGACAGAGAGAGGGACAGAACACAAGCGGGTGAAGGACAGAGAGAGAGGGAGACACAGAATCCGAAGCAGGCTCCAGACTCTGGGCTGTCAGCACAGAGTCCAACGCAGGGCTTGAACCCATGGACAGTGAGACCATGACCTGAGCCGAAGTCGGACATTCAACTGACTGAGCCACCCAGGCGCCCCAGAACTAAGCTCAGATTCTTAACCTGAGTATCACCAAGGGTCTGGGATGGAAAGTGAATTATCATAGTCATCCCAAGAGTAGCTTTGTAGTCAGCTTTGAGAGAAAGACAGTCAGTCGGCAGCTTATATCCCAGGTTGGCTTTTCAAAAATTTTAAGATATTCGTATCTGTAAATTTAGGGTGAGTTTTGATTTATTAGCCAATGTGGGGAAAAGAGTAGAAGCATTGCAAATTTTGAAATGCTGTGCTTTTAAAACTAATGTTTTCATTGGAACATTTAGTTGCCCCATAATCTGATTTCATAGATTTCATATATTGACTGCAAAGTAATTATTTAAAACACACACTTATGTTTTTTACTGAGATATTAAATTTCTTTGCTACCAGTATAGTGTTTTTTTCAAGCAAGAATTATTTTGTTCTTTGAAGTATTTTTATTTGTGATATTTAATAGATATAGTTTCTAAGAATTACCTATCCATACCCATTTTTTATTATTAACATTTACTTAATGAGTATCTGCCACCTGCTAAGAATATACAGAGAAGAATAAAACATGGTCTCTAACTTTCAAGAACTTTGGCAGTGAGTTTCATGGTAATTTTTAATGTGCATTAAATGTTATTTAAAAGTTGTTTACATTCTTCTGTATCTTCTTTTTTTTTTTTCTTTTTTTTTTATTTATATATGAAATTTATTGTCAAATTGGTTTCCATACAACGCAGTACTCATCCAAAGGTGCCCTCCTCAATACCCCATCACCCACCTCTCTCCTCCCACCCCATCAACCTCTGGTTTGTTCTCAGTTCTCAACAGTCTCTTATGCTTTGGCTCCTCTCCTCTAACCTCTTTTTTTTTTTTTTTTTTTTTTGCCCCACTCTCCCCGTTTCCTGTTAAGTTTCTCAGGATCCACATAAGAGTGAAACCATATGGTATCTGTATCTTCAAAACAACTTCCTATAACTTTAAGAAAGTTTTTTGTCCTTTGGACATATAGTTTAAGAGTAGATTGTTCTTTCAACTCTTCATTTCTAAAACTTAGTACATAGATGCTGCCTGGCAAATTAAGAACAAAAGTATGCAACTAGAAAAAAGATGATGAAGAGAAAAGTTTGATTGAAAAATATAGATGTCTGGAAACACCGTTGGCTCAGTCGACTTCAGCTCAGGAATCCTGATCATGGTCCGTGGAGTTCGAGCTAGCGTCGGGCTCCTGGGCTGATGGCTTTCCGGGCCTGGGCCTGCTTCCGGTCTGTGTCTCCCTCTCTCTCTGCCCTCCCGTTCATGCTCTGTCTCTCTCTGTCTCAAAAATGATTAAAAAAAAAAATTAAAAAAAAAAAATTTAGAAAATATAGATGTCAAACAGAAACTAGTAGATTCTTAAAACAGAAAAGAAGTAAAAATGGAACACTTGATTTTAAAAGACTGCAGTGCTTTTCTTAAGCACTCTTATTTCTATATTACTCTTCTGTGGTTGATAATTGGAAGTATACTAGCCTTTAAAAGATTCATATCATTTTATTTCCCATTTGTACTCTGTGTAATACCAAATGATAATATTTGCATATAATCAGTATTATTGACTGGCATTAATAATAACCAGATCCTTAGCCTGTATAACTTGTTTTAAATCAATAGAAAAGTAATTATACCTATATGCATAGATGTATTTTAAAATATATTGTTAAAAACATATAAGTTAAAAGATTATTAGAACAAAAGGAATGTTCTAATAGTAAACTGGTAAGAATATTTAATTGTCTATAATTATATATCAGAGTAAATGAAGCAGGAGTCTTTATTCTGTACATTGCAGTAATTTGACCGTTTATATTTAAATCTCAAGCCTCAAGCTGAGAAATATATCCTGAAAGCATTTAATATTAAGATTTTATTGTTGCTAGCCCTAAGGAGTTCCTTCTTTCTTTAATTATGTTGTGTGCAGTATTTTCAAAGCTATTCCTACTCAGCTGTTTTTCTTTCCTCTTACTTCCTATGATGCATATATTATAGAAGGAGACTTATGAATTCCCTCTTGCTTGGCCACAGTTTAGAGAACTGTTGATAATCTTTACTATAAGTCTTAAGACATCAGAAATAAGCTTAAAGCCTAATTAATATTTAGGACTTTCTGTACCAAAAGTGGAATATTGTATATCCCTTTAAAATGATTGTATTTTTTCTCCTAAGGAAGAAACACTCTTCCCTGTGCATAGGCCTTGCAGGTGGGAAAGCAGAGCTCTAAAGGGAAGATCGGGGCTATCAATGATGTTTCTGCCTAAAGAGGACGTGTGTTAATGCTGCAGCACTTTCCATCCATGGTCTCCTCTCCAGTTTGTTTGTTTTCTTTAAAGAATACAAGAGCAATTTTTTTTTTAATTGTTGCAAAATATTCAAAATTTCAAAAAACCACAACACATAATTTTATTATCTGTAACCTAAGAGAGTAGATTCTATAATTTTCTGAGTCCTATGATTCTAGTTTTCTCTGTGTGCCATTATCAACATTTAAAAAGTGTTCTTTGTCCAGACAAAAGGTAGTTAACCAAAGTCTCTATAGGGACATGTATACTGATTTTGACAAGACACCATCTACCATGTAGAAATTCTAAAGAATTTCTAAAACTTGCGGTGCTGTTTTGAAGCACTGGGCATCAACCCAGCCTAATAACTCTATTTCCCTATTAATGTAACTTTTATATAAGTGGAATTCCTGTGTAATCTAGAGGACTTTGCAAGTTGAAACCATTTAGATGCCCTCCTTGTGGACCTAAGAATGATGACATTTCTGCAACTAATGACGTACATACCAAGATTTTTAAGCAAGGAGAAGCATAACTCAAAGTTCAATGTGAAGTTTTTCTTCTATATATAGATCAGTAAAAAGACAAACAGTATGCTCAGTTTTTAAAAGAAAGTTAAGAAAAGACGTTAGCTCTTCATGAGACTCAGCCTAGCCTTTAAAACATTGGCTTCGGGGCACCTGGGTGGCTCAGTCGATTAAGTGGCTGACTTTGGCTCAGGTCATGTTCTCACGGTTTGGGAATTTGGGCCCCACGTTGAGCTCTGTGCTGACAGCTCAGAGCCTGGAGCCTGCTTTGGATTGTGTGTCTCCCTCTCTCCCTGGCCCTCCCCAGCTTGCACTCTGTCTCTTTCTCTCAAAAACGTTAAAAAAATTTTTTTAAACATTGGCTTAGCCTAAAATGAAATATTTCCAGCAATATTCTGAAATCTTTGCATTGCCACATTCAAGCTCTCTAGGCTTGTCAAAATGAACTGTCCATACGTCATCTAGAAATTTAGTAGAGATCAGCTAGCTTTTTTTTTTTTTTGATAAAAAAGCATTTAATTAGTAAGATACTGGCCTACGTTTGTGTTAATTTCTTACCTATCTAACATTAAAGGTAAAAGGAAGAAAGCCAGATTCCTAGGGAGTGGTGGATAGGGAAAAAGAGTCTGACAAAAGGGTACAAACTTTTACTTGTAAGATGAAGAAGTTCTAAGGATCTGATGTATAATGTGGTAACTATAATTGATAATACTGTAGCGTTTAACTGAAATTTGCTGAGTAGAACCGAAGTGTTCTCACCAAAAAGAAAGAAAAAGGACAAACATGTGAGGTGACGGATGTGTTGATGAACTCAATTACGGGACTCTTTTCACAATGTATACTTAAGTCATGTTTTACACTTTATACATATTACAGTTTTGTCACTTATACCTCAGTAAATCTGAGGGGAAAAGAATCAACTGAATTTTGAAATATTCTTTTAACAGGTTATATCAATCAGTGAAAATTCTATATTCCTTTGGCATCTTTGTGACATATTCAATTCAGTTCTATGTTCCGGCAGAGATCATCATCCCTGTGATCACATCCAAATTTCATGCTAAATGGAAACAAATTTGTGAATTTGCAGTAAGGTCCCTCTTGGTTAGTATTACATGTAAGTATTACTACATATTTATATTATAATTTTTCTTGTTGAATTGCTTATAATTAAGCTACTTAAGTTATATTTTTTAATATGTTAAAAACAATTCATTCACCTCGCTGAGATACTTTTTGGGTTAAAATTCTGTTGTTCTACCACTATATAAGAAAAACACAAACCAGATCCTATCATACTTAAAAGAACTACTCAGATTATTATTTTGAAAACTACATCAATGGTGATTAAAATATATCTAAATCAGATGCATAAGGGACTCATTATATTGTTCATACACATTTTACATTGGTTTTCATTTTCCTCAGGTTTTTTATTTCCACTAACTTTTGTGTATTTAACAGTTTGATTCTCTAAGACTACCTATAGAAATGGGTTTTATTTTCTTTTGGTCTTTAATTATTTCAGTGGCTAATTTATATTGTTTGAAGGAATATATAATCTTGTATTAAGGTTTCACAATATAAAATGCCTCCACCAGAAAGCATTAAAAATGGAGACCTGTGGAGAAGAAACTTGATTGTGGTACAGTGATATACTAGAAATAGCATGAGTTTTGGGGTCATACTGACCTGATGGTTGAAACCTACCACTCACCTGCTCGTGTCTTTAGGCAAGTTACATAGCATCTTTAAACCCGTCTTTCCTCAACTTTGAAATGAAGATAAGATTTCCTTAATGGCATTTTTATAGAGTTCAAGAATATTAATAAAGTAGCCAGTATTTATTATTGTCACCATTATTATTGTAACCACAAATATAAGATGACCATAACACTGAACTAACTAATGGGATTGCGTAGACCTAGAATGACCCATTAGAAATGGGTCACCTTTCTGTGGAAGAAAACCATCTTGGCCCATTCAAGGTGAGAGAAACGAGAGAGCTAGAAATTCGAGGCAACTCTATAAATTGCAGTGAGCAATTTGGGGTGGATCTTATGCCTAGATGTAAAGAAGAAACAAAGCTGGGAAGAAGAGATGAAACCTGTTTTCCAAAGTAATCATTTAAGTGAATTGTATCAACAACAATCATCAAAAATCACGCTGAGGAATGAATTCAGTAAGCCCTTACTCCAATGACTAATAAAACATTCAGTAGGAAAAAGTTATTTTAAGACATTTGAAATATTTCTTACACATTGTTTTTATTGATATTTTGACTACTACATAAAAAGACTGATTTCAGTAAAAGTCCTTGTAATATAGATGTAAGACTATAAGTTCTGAGAGTATATCTCCTTTTAAAATTACTGAAGTTCGGGGCGCCTGGGTGGCTCAGTTGGTTAAGCGGCCGACTTCGGCTCAGGTCATGATCTCGCGGTCTGTGAGTTCGAGCCCCGCGTCGGGCCCTATGCTGACAGCTCAGAGCCTGGAGCCTGTTTTGGATTCTGTGTCTCCCTCTCTCTGACCCTCCCCCGTTCATGCTCTGTCTCTCTCTGTCTCAAAAATAAATAAACGTTAAAAAAAAAAATTACTGAAGTTCACTTGAAGGAGCTTGAGGAAAACATTAACGGGATTTAACACTTCTGATATTTTGAGAACTCCATCCGTTTCTGCACATTGGCTGCCATTGTTATGTGGAAGCTGCCCATCTGCTGAAGCACAGAGCACACTGCATATCCGCTACCATGACTTTATTCCCAGAAGCCACGGGCTTTTTCTCAAGAGCTGAGTTCATGGCACAGAGAGTTGCCAGTTTTCTTTCCTGCTTCTGTCTTTTAGTTAAAAATAGTGAAAGCTGTTGAACGGTATATGAGGGTTATATTTGTCTTTGGACAAAGAGAACACAGACCAGGCAGTGTTCCCTTCTACTTCATTGGGACACATCATTGGACGCTGAACTTCATTTGAGTCTTAGGCACATCCTGGTAAAGGCCAGTTGATATTCATGGAAGGACTGTTTTTTCATCTGTTCTCTAGAGCACTTGACAAGCTTTTGGGGCAGGCTCCTCGCTGATGAATGTGTACACAGCTGTTGGGACCTCATCGTGTCCACAGAGCAGGCTGTTCACCACTAGCAGTGAGAGTGGAGGCTCAGCTGGAGGTGCTTTGAAAATTGAATAACCTATCAGTGTTCCATAATCCTTTCCAAGTACCGAATCTGGGTTTGTAGGATTGGCCTTCAAAGTAGTGGGCTTATCAGCTTGGGTTGCATTGGTTTGTCCAAGGCTCTATTTAGCATTTGAAGCATCATTTCAAAGTATCTTCTTATGGAACTCAAAAGCTTGGAAAGATGGGCCAGACTCATCCTAGCTGTTTCCTGTAGGCACCTTACTTGCTATAGAGGCATCTCACAGGTGAGGGAGAACAGTGAGTAGAAGCTGGCCAGTGGCCACCATCGACTACAACAGATACTTTTTACTTTAAGAGCACATCTATAGAAAGAACCTGTTAAGTTTTGAATTGTAATGAACATGGAGACCAATGTTTTGATTCCATGTTTGACTTGAATCTGTAAAATATGCTAAATACTATTTATTTTTGTTATCCAATTCATTGATCTTTCTACTATTTTTATTTTGGAAAGTTTTTGGCTTTGGGAGCATGCTTTCTGGTTTTAGAAGATTATGACTACAAAGCACCAAAAAATAGAAATCTTACCAATTTGTAGAATACTAGAGAAGATACACTAAAATCTTTCATTTAAGTTAGGTGCCACTTCAGGTGAGGAAAGATACAATTTCATAACCTCATATTCTATCTTAGAGTCAGGAGGTATCTGGGGAGTACCATTAATTATTTGTGTGATTAAAATTTATGTGCTGGAGGGGCGCCTGGGTGGCGCAGTCGGTTAAGCGTCCGACTTCAGCCAGGTCACGATCTCGCAGTCCGTGAGTTCGAGCCCCGCGTCGGGCTCTGGGCTGATGGCTCAGAGCCTGGAGCCTGTTTCCGATTCTGTGTCTCCCTCTCTCTCTGCCCCTCGCCCGTTCATGCTCTGTCTCTCTCTGTCCCAAAAATAAATAAACGTTGAAAAAAAAAAAATTTAAAATTTATGTGCTGGAGTATTTCTTACAGTTTTGTTGTTAAATATCAAGTATTTTGTTTTTTTCTCTGGTACATCTTTTTTCACCCTACAGTTGTCAAGAATGGACTTAAAATAGGATTTTTTTTTATGAGAGGAAACTTTGTGCCTTAAAGATACTTTCTTTTTCTCTATACTGTAGTTTTGGCAAATAGTGAATAAGCTTAATTGGTTTTTAATAGATCTACTCATCATACCTGTCTATAAAGGACATAGGGCAGCCTATTTACAGTAATCCTATAGTAAATATTTGTAATGAATAAATTGCCCATATTCTAGACTATCCTTTGTTTCTGTGATTTTGAGTGTTTATATATTGATTTTGCCTAAAGTGTACATATTTATCTTCCTTGTCTACTAATAGCATTATAAAATAAAACTTCAAGCCATTTTTTACTAGCGTGTATCCACTGATTATATAACATTTATTTTAAGTTTATTTATTTTGAGAGAGAGAGAGGGAGGGAACAAACCAGCGGAGAGGGGCAGAGAGAAGGAGAGACAGAATCCCAAGCAGGCTCTATGCCATCAGCACAGAGCCCGATGTGGGGCTTAAACTCACCAACTGTGAGATCATGACCTGAGCCGAGATCAAGAGTTGGACGCTTAACCGACTGTGCCACCCAGGCGCCCCAATTATATAACATTTAAAGGATGACTTCAGCTAATTGATAAATTTCATGATCAAAAGTGTTTGATAAATGTCTGAATAGATTTTAAAAACCTATAGTGTTCATCCACATGCTTTTTCAGCCATGTTTCACTTGATTTTTCCTAGTAACAGCTGGATTATTGAAAAACATTAATGAGGAAAGATGAATTCCAAAAAGAAAGCCTCTTCAGATGGCTCTGTTCTGGTCATGCTTATCCAGCCAGTCTGTTACACTGCCGTCTGCTGTAAATAGGTAGAAATGTGTCTCCATGAAACGGATGTAGTCACTGAAATTTGCGAGGTCCTAATTGTGTTTGGGAGTTATGTTTATAGTGCCCTTGAGAAAAATGTTAAGAGAACGTAGCAAGCGTCCGTTCCACAGGGAATCTACTCTATGAAGCATTTCCAGTTTAGAGTTTCAACTTCTTCCAAGTCATTTATCTTATTTAAGAAACTTTGCTGCACTTCAGTCCTCTAGGTGTGAGGCTAGGTTGATAATTTCAAAATAATTTTTGGTTTTAGCTTTCAAAAGAATTTAAATAGGAAATAACAGATATTTCCGAGAAACCTAGTAGTTCCAAACTAATCCCATGTCCTCCTGGAAAACATTGAGAGCCACAAAAAGAATAGGGGAAGGAAAAAAAACACCCATAACCTAAAAATTAAGAAGTGGAGAAACTAGTAGGCTGCACCCTGAAGACTTCATTGCAAAGAGCCCAAGTTAAATTATATACCCACCACAGAAAGGTCGGCAGGAGACAGAGAGACTAGAAATGAGGAAAGCAAAAGTACATAAACTTAAAAATAAAAAGAGAGGGATAAAAAAAAAATGGTAGCTTTAGGAGACAAGTTAGAGCCGCCACAGACCTCAAGGGGGTCCTCAAAGCTGGGACTCTGGGGGTGGAGTCCTCCGTGGTGGCAGGGCTGACGTGGCTGTCACGGGGTACGTGTGAGCAGACTCCGTTGTCTAGCTGCTCCAGACCCTCAGCAAGCCGTTCAGTGAACCATTTTAGGACATTTTGAAGCAGGAGTAGGGGTCTTAGTTTTTACAGACCTTCTGTTGATACCTTTGTTATGATGAGGGTAAGTGAGGTCAAGAAAGTGCAAGATCAGAACTTTCAGAAATTTGCCAATAGTTTGGAAGAAAATCCTGTCGACAGTAGTAGTAGTACATTATTTTGTTTTCATTTTTCATTTTGAAATAATTTAGAAAAGTTATAAAAGAAAGTAGAGTAGAAAAGTTATGAAAGTTGTTTACGTAAGAAAATCTGTTGAAAAGTCACAGTTCAAGAAATGTCACTCACTGTTTTGGTTTCCTTGTGTGTTTGACAGAGTCTTCAACAGGCAGCAATTTAGTTAGTGCCTACTTGCATTAATTTTGAAGTATTGAAAATACAGTAAAACCTTGGTTTGCGAGCGTAATGCATTCTGGAAACATGCTTGTCATCCAAAGCACTTGTATATCAAAGTGAATTTCAGGAACCATTGGCTCGGTTGGGATCATGTGACATTCCGTGTCATGTCCTACTCGTATTGCAAGACGTCGCCCGTTTATCAAGTTAAAATTTACTAGAAATGTTTGCTTGTCTTGCAGAACAAGTTACTTGCAATCCAAGGTTTTATGTATCTACATTTAGTGCTCACTTAAGCAGTATATATTTAAATAAAGAAAATACGTATTTTCATTTTCTAGGTGCTGGAGCAATTCTGATTCCTCGTTTAGACATTGTGATTTCCTTCGTTGGAGCTGTGAGCAGCAGCACATTGGCTCTGATCCTGCCACCTTTGGTTGAAATTCTTACATTTTCTAAGGAACACTACAATATATGGATGATCCTGAAAAATATTTCTATAGCATTCACTGGTGTTGTTGGTTTCTTCTTAGGTACATATGTAACAGTTGAAGAAATTATTTATCCTACTCCCAAAGTTAGAGCTGGCACTCCACAAAGTCCTCCTCTAAATTTGAATTCAACATGCTTTATGTCTGGGTTGAAATAGTGGAAGCAGAATTACGAGTCTTCTCCTTTTGTCTCAGTTCTGAAAATTATTAAAATAAGAACTGGTAGAGTCCATTGCCATATGTCTAAAATTAGAGCCAAACTCTCTTTTCTTTTGGCACAGTAATGACATTTCAGTAGTAAACTGTAATTCTTTACCAGTAGTGGTAAACTATGACAGATTCTTTGTTTTGAGTATTAGTAATAATTTCAAAAAATGTTAGTTTTGAAAATACTATAAATTAAAATGTAGAAGAATGAAAGAATAAAAAGACTTCCATTATTCTTCATTCAATCAGAAATACTCTAACCAAGATTCTTTTTTATGCCCATGCTCCTCTTTCCCCACCCAGCTGAGGAGAGAACAAAGTTCCAACAATAAGAGAATCAGAGAAGGACATAGTTCACAAAAATCTTCAGACCATCTCGGTGAATGTCAAAGTGTACCTTGTGCATAATGTAAAAATATCTCAATTGTGTTTTTATTAGAAAGCCAAATACTTACGAATCACCCTTGCAAGGATAGAAAACTCTAAGCATCAGAAATCCCTAAACCAGAATTGTTCTACACCATTCTATGATGGTAGTTGACCTGCACAATGAAAATTATGAGGTGCTGTGGAGATCCTGATTTAGTGTCTCAGACACGTTTGGAAGAGACTTTTTAAGGGTTATCCAACACAATTCCCTTGATGTCCAGAAAGGGTAAGTAACTTGGTCAAGGCCACTTAGCTTTGAGATCAAGCAAGAGAATCTGATCTTTTTACCCCAGTCCAAGATTTTTTACTTTTCACATCACATCCAAGAAAAATAAAGTATGTTCAGTTTAGCCTTTAGTGTTGCATCTACATAATTATATTTTAAAGCTCAGAAAGCCGGTGATCTTTTAGTAATATATGTGACCTGAGCATAAAATCAGAGAACTCTAAAAAGGATGCCTTACCGGTACATAAACCTAAACAAGAGAAAGAAAGTGTTTGTTTGTTTGTTTGTTTGTTTGTTTTAGAGAATAGAAAGCACTTTCTGGTTTAACTGCTGGTGAGTTGGAGGTGCCCAGCCATTCTGTCTATGGCTGGAACTCTCATTATTTCTTCTCTTTCTAGGGATTGTAGGCACCGTTTTTCTTAATGGCAGAAAATAGGTATCTGACAAAATACAGGATTTGTGTATTTCCAGCCTGTGGCTTTCCTGATTATAGCCTTTTATCAGTCTGAATGGGCAGAATTAACAAAAAACATAAATTTATACTGAGGAAAAATCAAGGCAATAATAGACTGTCTACTAAATATTGAGATACTCCAGGTTTCTTGCAGAGAAATACCTTGTATTCATATTTGTCAAGCCCAGTTATTAATGAAAACAAGCTCAGTTGACATGGATGAAAACTTTTAAGTTTAAAACATTAGGAATCTTGATTTTTTTTTTAAATTCATACATTAAAACATTTTTAATCAGGCTGGTAATTTGTAATACTACAAGATATCGTCAAGATCACTGTAGTATATGTATTCTATATTTTTATATGTAAATGTGAACTTAGCTCAAGTATTTTTTTGCTTTACATCATTAATGAGTCATCAAGTACAACTCTAACAAAGTCTCAGAAGCTTTATTTTTGTACAAATTCATAAGAATCAAACTTTTTTTAAACATTTACATTAGATATCACCGATAATTTTTTGTGACACTTTTGTATCAAATCTATTATGTTGAGCTTTCAGTCACACTGCGAGAATGTGGAAGAAGTTACAGGAAAAGTAATCGTCATTGAAACTGTTACAGAGTTGTGTTTCTAAGAATAAATTAGGTTTTTTTTAAAAAGAAATGTATAACTTGGTATAAAATGACTTGAAAACCATTATTTAATAGAAAGCACTATTACTTTTTGCCAGGTATCTTCAGATATTTCTAGTCTATGCATGAAATTTTATTTTTATACTTTGACCTGTTTATTTTCCTTATTCATCAAATTCAGTGAATTTCGAATAGTTGATTATAGCAATAAATGAATTTTAGCATGAACAGAATGTTGAGTGCATTATCAGCCAGGCTTCCTTATTGTAGCGAGTGCTGAATCGACATCCAGTACTTAGTTCACTAAGTGATCAACACTTTAAATATGAGAGGAAAGTCGAGATGGTGGAAGAGGGGCTAAAAAGGGAGAGACTAGTCCCAATTCTTAACAAGAAACTATTTAGATGTAAAGGATATATGCACTCTTCTTTAAGGATTTTTGATGAAGCATATTTTTTGCGAAAAAATCAGTGTCATATTTTTCCTCTGAAAATTTAGTTTTAACAAGTTACAACGTTTCAAAAGATTTTTGGAGAAGATATTTTGATTAGAACAGCTGTTGCTTTTATTTGGGGGCCTGGAAAAATGAGAGTGGTTGCACCTGTCAAATTGTGTACTTGATGTCTAGGTCCGTTACATGATGGCTAGGGCGACTTCAGCATTTCACCCGCCACTGCAGTAAAAAACCCTCCTCTCTGAAAGTGAGTCAGGTGCCTGAGAGGCCTTTCCACCACTGAGGTAGGGGAGAGAAAGGAGAGCTTTACTCACCTCTGCTGACCTCTGCTCTAAGCCAGTCATCATCTGCACCCTGCATTCGAAAGGGTTTTCCCAGCTCGAGTCCACTTGTCAGAACGCTGGCTTTCAGACCTTTCGTATCGGAGGCTCTTCTTTTCCCCACATGGTCAGATTTCTGCACAATTAAATAAGAATTAGGGTTTGTTTTCCCTAGGTAAAGACCAATTGGTATTATGTTATCAAATAAAAGAGTGCGATGTATTAGCAAATGCCACATCATGTTTTAATTCTGTCCTTGCTGGATTCTCCTTTATTAAAACCATTTCTGCCTCCCACCTAAGCAGTGCACTTAAATTAACATTTTTATAGGCATTTTATGCAATGTGCATGTTGTAAATTTCCTAACAGGGCCTAATTTCATTCAGTATTTTCAGAATAGTTACAGGAAAGCTGTCTAACTGCAAAGCACTATAAAAATATTAACTGGACCATTAATTAAAGTTCCACATTAGTGCCATTTCTAGCTGTGGCGAAGTGCAGGTCTGCCTCTAGCTTACCTGGGGCAGTTGGTCACTGTAGATGTCAGCCCAGCATCTGAAGTACATTTGTGTATGATAGTATACAGCCACATTAGGTTTTCACCTCAGTTCTTTCTTTCTTTAAAAAGGACAGTGTAGGGGCGCCTGGGTGGCGCAGTCAGTTAAGCGTCCGACTTCAGCCAGGTCACGATCTCGCGGTCCGTGAGTTCGAGCCCCGCGTCAGGCTCTGGGCTGATGGCTCAGAGCCTGGAGCCTGTTTCCGATTCTGTGTCTCCCTCTCTCTCTGCCCCTCCCCCGTTCATGCTCTGTCTCTCTCTGTCCTAAAAATAAACGTTGAAAAAAAATTTTTTTAAAAAGGACAGTGTACAGAATAAAGATAATGGAAATAATAAATAATTTTAAAATCATACCCGTGGCTCAATGAATATTTTCTGTTGAGAAATAAAAAAAAAAAAAAAAAAAAAAAAAAAAAAAAATCAGTGAAAATACCGTTGATCTTGTAAAATGAGTTTTGTTTTTTTTTTAAGGAGTATTTTGTTCATTTTGGATTACCTAGCCTCCTCCTTCATAAGAAAATTTGAGAACTTTGATCTAAAAGGTGGAATAAGACACTTCCTAACATGACATGGCCAACTGTAATAAGTGATGCTTTCTTATGGACTATCTTGTTTATGCCACTAGTGCTCACTCGGCTAAATGCCTTAATGAAAGTGGCTGATTTCCACCTAGAAGACAGGAAAACATGCTTAAGAAATGACTAGAAATGCTATTTATTGCCCTTTGATAAATGACAACTCTCATTCTTAAAATTTCATATTAAAATTAGCTAGTCCTTGTGTACACACACACACCAGTAATCTATGTGAATTAGATACTAATGTGAATATACCATTTAAATTGGGTCCAGAAAGATAATGCATTCATTGAAAGATCACTCCAGAAATTATTCCATTAGAGTTTTCTTGATAACAGATAGGAAATTACATGCTTATATCGTGAATAAATTAAGCTGTGGATTTTTGTGTTTCAAAATGATTTTGTTAGTTTGAAAACTTAAGTTATCGTTGCACTTGAGTTCTTTTTCTTTTAACTTATTTTTCTTTATTATATGAAGAAAACTGTCTTAAAGTACTGTAACTCTTCTGAATTTTCAATAAAATACAATTATTTTGCTTGCAAATGCCTTTTTAAATGAATTTGGCTTTTATAAGGTTAAGTGATATTGACAAGTGTCATAAGCTGAAAATGGCACTCATATTCTCATAATAACATTTTAATCGGTCTTTGTGGTTAAATCTTTGTCATGTGTGATCTTCAGCGTTGGAAGTTGATATTATGTGCCTCCAAGATTTGAGAGCAGAAGTTGATGAAAAATGAACATACTCAAACCATGACCTGAGCTTCCTACAGAGTGAACACAGAATGAACAGTCTGGCCATGCTGCCTCCGTGGTTTAATGTCCCATTCTCTTAGGTCAAGAATATGTATCACTCACACTTTTAATACGCTTTGCTTGCATTATGCCAACTCACCATATCAAAGATCATGAAGATATTTATACCTTTAATAGTAATCCTGCTCTTGTGAACCTAATGTAAGAGCAGGCCATAGTTCATCAGAAGAGAGACAGCAGCAGCATTACGCTTTAGTCGTGAGAACTTGGAAACAACCTGAATGTTCAACAATAAGGAAATCATAAATTGTGATATATTCACCTAGAATACAATGCAGATTGTATTAATTACACTATTGTCATACCAAAGATGAATAATTTTGGAAAGAATACATATGTAAAATTAATTTTTAATTGCAGCTCTGTAAAAATAATGCTTTTGAACTGAGACGAGATACACAGAAATTGGAACCATAGTGTTAGGAAAAAAGATGGGTTACTATTTTAAAATGAATAGTAAAGGAAGGACTGTGAGAGAAATAAAGAGGAATAAAGTTGTAAAACCTTAGGAGGAGTACATGCTCTTAGCCAGCAACAGAAGGAACAGGAGGACAAAGACAATAAACATACAGTAGGGATAGAACAAGGTACAGAGAGAGATAAATGCAACGAAAAGCCCCATGG